GTTTTAGTTAGTTTGTTATTTCTTAACTTAGGTGTTTTTATTTTTATTATATGGCTTATTGAACATGGGCAGATTCATAATCATAAAACGTAAGATAGACAATTACAACAAATTAAGCGTGGCTGACACTAGTTTTGATAGTATCACACATAATACGATGAGTGTTAGTTCTACAACCGTCGTTTGTCAATGTAATGAACACTTGTCCTTCGGATTCACTCGTCTGGAGAAGAGAAGCCACGTCTAAGTGTGTTGTTTGTCACGCGAAACAGGCAAACCAAAGTATGGTTCCAAGTAAGCTGAAAAAACACCTTCACACAAAGCAATCACTTTTATGCGAGAAACCAACTGAATATAAGGCCTATAGTTATCAAACACACCAGGCTGAACAGCGGACCGAAATCACAACTGTTTCTGAAAGAGCTCAAGAAGCAAGCTAAACCGTTGCCGAACTCGTGGCAAAATAGATGAAATCACTTAAAATTGCCGAGTTAGTAATTTTATCAGCATGCTGTAAAATTCTAAATATTCATATCATGTTTGGCGAGGAATATGAAAAAGAGATTTTGAAAATCCCTATGTCAGATAACAGTGTTAGCTGGCGTATGCAAGACATGTTTCAAGACGCTGAGTCACAGCTGATAGCCAGAATAATAAAAGGGAACAAAGTTTAAATGTTTGGGCTGACAAATTTGCAGACTGGACAGAAATCTTGTCAATATGCTCGTAATTCTACAAAGTTTGTCATTGCTGAGTAAAAACGTCGAAAAGTATTTCCCTTCACTTTAAGGATGAGAGATCCGTTGTGAAGTGCGTTCGAGCCAGCAGAACTAACTGTTGCAGAAGAAGATGAGCTGACGGAAATAAGAAAGGACAGGAGACCAAAATGGAAGCATTCACCACCAGATACGGCCTCATTCTGGTTGTCTCTCCGACAGGAGTACCCCATCATCACAGAGACGGTGATTGAAGCGCTCCTTCCTTCTCTACGTCGTATCTGTGTGAGGCCGCTCTTCTCTGCTATGAACAGGTCGCGGCTTCAAGCACTGGAGGAGGACTTGTGGGTATGCTTGTCAACCATCCGACCTCGGACAAGGGACCTCATGAGGCATCACCACGCACAGGCTTCCACTGATATTTTTATGTTTACGTAAAGGATAGTCTCTTTCCAAAAACAAGATCACATTTAGTGGAGAAACTGTTTTGGAAGAGACTGTGGACCTGTCGTCTGACAGATTACTGATGAATTAATGAAAGGTACCTTATTTCTACTCGTGTTTATATATAAAAATCTTGTCCTCTTTACACTTATTGTAAGTGGAAACCTTTAATGTAGCATTAAAACTTTTCATCATAGAGCAGACTGTTTTATTCAAGACCTGATTTTTCATTATTTCACTGAGTAAAAGAGAGGCCATGTGACAGAGGGACAGTGGACAGACCCCAGTGGAGTACGTCATAGGATTTCTTAAATGACACCTTTTTCAATAATACCTCATTTCAATATTTGGAATAATAACAGATATAAATATAAATTTTAAAAATAAATATTTTGGAATCCATAATCAACACAGCTTTACAAATAAGGCAATGATTAGAATTTTAGGTACTGAACATCTTAATCTTAATCTTAATACTCGTTTTTAATGATAAAATCTCTCCTTTAAAACTGATGGTGTACCTTGAAAATTTTAGCAATTATTTTCAGTGTGCCGTGAGTTGAAAAATATTGAAAATCTCTGATCTAAAGGTTCTACACCTCAACTATGAAATCCCGCCAGTGTCGTCCACTTCCATACGATCGCTTTCTAAGAGGTTTCCACACCAAAATTATGTATTCTTTCCTTGTCTATCCCCAACTCTGCCACTTCGTAGCTCCCTTGATTTCATTATCCTAACAATACTAGGCGACCTGGATGAACTACTGAGTTACTCTTTATGAAATAACACACGGTCTTTGTTTCATTTTTCTTAGGTTCAGATTATTCGTTTAATCTCTCTCAATCACCACAGTATCTGGTAACGAGGGTACTGGTGACGTAACAGTTTATGTGGATTATTAATTTTATTTAAAGGCGTTGTAGAAGAAAAGAGTCGTAACCTATTTAAAAGCATGATTCCAGCATTTGCCTACAGGTACTGAGGAAAGGCACCAAAATCTCAGTGACAGCAAATGGTAACTGCGCCCAGATTCCATCCGAGCACTTTCCCTAACTGGTCCTCGTGGTGGCAATACAAGCAATACACGTGTTCGGATTGTAAGGAAGAGCGTGACTATAGAGAAGTTTGTGTTGATGTGCGTCACCACATTCGGACATGAGGTTAGGTTAGATTTCGTATGTTTAATTATTTGAAGAATTATACGTTAATCTAGCCGGTCACGGTAGCCGAGCGGTCTAAGGCATGCACTGTCTTCACTCGCTCGGAAGCCGGGATCGTGGGTTCGAATCCCACTCAGGGCATGGATGTTTGTGTGCGTTTTTCTGTGTTTGTCTACAGGTAGAGGCCTTGCGACGAGCTGCTCAATCGCCCAAGGAGTCCTACCGCATGTGTAGGATCTAGAAAACCGAAGTGAAACGGAAAGTTTCATGGAGGTACGCCTAGGCCCAAATTGGGGGGCTGTAGCGCCACGGAAAAAAAAAAAGTTAATCTAAAGTTGTCTAAAAATTCAGTTCCTACGACACAGGAAACACTGCAATTCCGTAACAAAGACGAACCTGTTTATACTGTTCATGGAAGTCATCGATGGTTACTCTTTCAATCATATCAAACGCATAAATACATTCCACGGGCGAAGTACAGAGCATCTGATGATTAAAGCGGGCAGTATGTACTACAGTTTGTACCAGTGGTTCTCAACCTCTGTCACACCGCGGCCCGGTAAATTCTTTTTTCTATAAGACGAGGTCCCGGTACCGGGCAGCGGCCCGGCGATTGAGAAACTCTGGTCTACATTGTGCTTTGAGGGTGGAGCTGCTTTACGCTTCATTATTCTTTGTACTGGATGCTTTGTGCTACCGGTTAATAACGTCCATAGTTATATTCAAGTACCGAAACAATATGACTATCAATAAGCGATTTTATGTACGGAGACATCATAGTGTTGTGGTTCATAAATTAGTAGGCCTAACGAATATTATTTTCTCTCTCTCACACGATCTAAGCTACTGGAAGCCTGCCAAAAAATTTCAATTGGCCCCTCTCCAATATCCAGCTTATATTATTAATAATACGGTCATTTGGGAGATCTAGATGTAGATAGGATAATATTAAAATTATTTAAAAAACTAAAGCTATCCCTGTAACAGGCCGTG